AGCTCCAACAGCAACGACTTCAGCTACCCCTACCCCACCAAACCTGCTGCTATCAAGAGGTGAGGCGCGTTCAGGGCCCGGCCGCGTCCCGCAGCAGGCGGGATGCAGCGCGGGAGTGACTGCGGGCGCGGCGGTCATTCCTTCGGTTTTCCCGTTTCCCTTTGAAGTGGATTGGAAGTGCTGGATGGGAAGCGAGTTCTCTCTCGCTTAACGATAGCGTGTTTTTTGCAGCCACTATGCGGATATTGATCCAGAAAACCAAAATTTCTTGCTGGACTCCAATCTCGGCAAGAAGAAATATGAGACGCAGTATGTAAGTACATAGCGATGACGTTTCAAATAAACAAACAAAAATTTATTGCCAAATTTGTTTAATTCTGAGATGAGTAATAACTTTCCATTAATTATTACCTATCTCCCTTTTCTCAGCATCCGGGTACTACTTCCTTTGGAATGTCAGTATTTAACCTGAGCAATGCTATTGTGGGTAGTGGCATCCTGGGTCTTTCTTTTGCCATGGCTAACACTGGAATTGCTCTTTTTGTGTAAGTATCTTTTGGTTCACCAAAACAAAAAAAAAAAAGTCTTTTTGCTATGTAATTCATAATGGAAAAATACTCAGTCTAAGAATATGACCTTTAGAAAATACCTAGTCATTTCTGTTGGTGCAGAATTGCGTTGTAGGATTTATGGCTTGTTTTAAATTCAAAGATTGTGATGCATTCAGAAGGACTTGCAAAACTTAGAAGGGTTCACTGCAGGTTCTGCAACCCACAAAATCATTTTACAGTGAATTTTCCTTTACTTAGCTCTAGTTTCTACATTAATAACTGATAGACTTCCCTGGAAATTTCCATTATCCAAGTCCTGATCAAGGGCATGGTCTACCTTTTCCTCATCTGACACAGTTGTGCCTACAGAGTTATGATGTGCTTATACCAATAAAGAAATTGGTTTTATTGCTATGCTTTAACTCAATTCAGGGAACTGGTTTCAGTTACATCTATAAAAATTGCTGTCTGCTTGCTAGGGAGAGTTGTGAAATAGTTAGCGTATCTTTATGGGTATGTCTACACTGATGAAAGGTGTAAGACAGAACTGCAGTAATGTAATTGGAAATTACATGAGGAAACAATTAGGTACAGTGCTTTGAAATGTCTTAGGAAAGTACATTTTTCACGTGTTGGGGGCAGTTCAGTTCACACTACATGAAGCATCAGTGGCTTGACTGCAAATGAGTATCTGTGCACATGCTTAAAGGAACTTTGGGGGGTTTATCCTGGAAATAGATAAATGTGCTAAATGTTCAAGAACATGTGCAGAGTAACGTTTAGTTCAAAATTTCCCTGATTGTTGCCAGATTTTCAGAAAGTAGGTCAGACTTACTTCCAGATGTTTCACAGTGTATCAGGGTGGCGTTCAACTTTCATGAGGAAACTGCTGATGTGTAAAGTTCTGATCTAAAGGACTTTATTTTAGGTATATGGTGATTTGGGGTTTTTTTTACTAAGATATTCACTTAGGTGATGCTATGTTGAATGTACAACTTAGCATGAGTTCAGAAGAGATAGATACATCATCTCCCTCTACACATCAGTTTCATGCTCTAAAGATGTTCTGCAGCACATATTATCAGCATGTTAGAATGTCTCTGAGGAGAGGAAAAAAGAGAACTTTAAGGTTAGATATTTAAACAGACTTGCATATAATGAGGTCCTTTTTTTCTGCAAAAAAAGCCCCATTCAGAACTGTCCATTTAACAATTGGACGCTGAGGTCATTTAGTTAGCTTTTATTTCCAGATACTGCATTCAGATAACCTATCTTTGTTTCAAAGGTGAAGCAGCTTGTTACTTTTCAAAACTTAGTGTAAATTGTATAGTTCTTAGGCAGAAAAGCAGTTAATCACCAATGATACTGAGGATTTATGATGACATTGCAGGCATCCTTTAATAACTAGGTTACAGATTCAGATCCAGATACAGTTGATTAAGCAGTCTTCGAAGACTGTGGAGTAACTTGTGTCAGTGCTGTGACTTGTCACTTGTGTCAGCACTAAATAAATTAATAGTATGGTCTGGAAGCCAGAAACAGAGTGAGCTTCAGGATGAGTTTACTGACTGATCCTGTCAGCACTGTAGGCAGCCATTCCAGGGTAGGACCGAGGGCTTCAGGATTTGTGCTGTTTTAAAGTAGTGTAAGCCTGGCACATCTCAGCTGTGCTGTTTCTGATTGATGGCTGAGTTAAATCCTGGTTAATCTCTACCTGTCGGAAATAGAGAGGTTTATTTGTGTGCATGTGTTGGTGTTGAATTGGCACAGGAACACAAATTACCTGAATCTCTTGTACAGATCTGTGAACACTTTCTCAGAACAACTTGTTTCCATGTAGTACTTCGTGCTGCATTTGCTAATTTCAGTGACATTAAAAACTACGCAAAAGGCAATGTAAAGAATACTCTGAGAATGCTAAATGAAACCTGCCATTTTGAGCAGATATGCTGATTCTTAGGTTTCCTGTAAAGCAGAATGCCTGCATTGGTATAAGAAAGGCTAGGGTTTGGGTTGAGTTTTTTTGAAGGTATTGTAATTTTCCACTGCTTTCTTCAGCAGCTGAGAAGTCCTAGGGTGTGCCACTCCAGGAATTGCATTTGTTGTGGGAGAGATTTGTTGTTGAGAGATCAGAATTTTAAGTGATGCAAATGTGCTTCTGGAAATAATATACATTGCCTGTAAAAGCTGTGGGGAAGATAAACAAGCCACTAGCGATTCCTGTGTGAGCACACCTGAGGAGTCAACTTCTGGAAAAAAATTAGGGTTTTTTTTTAATGACAATAGATCCATATTTCCATTTGAAGACACAGCTCTCAATATGTCTGAATCTTCAGTCAATTCTACAAGGCTTTTGTGGTTTTATCTTTACATTAAAAAAAAGACGTAACACAGGTTTAAGCTGAAAAGCTTAAAGCCCAAGAGATGATCTTCACTTCAGCTGCAGTTAAATCACAGCTGTATGTTCAATAGGTGCATGACACACTGTTGCACAAGGACAGGGCTACAGCAGAGATACAATCTTCTACAAAATAACAAGTTCCCATTGATACTTCAAGTAACTTACATCAAATGTAGCAAATTAGAGTGGCCTGACACTAGGCGAAAAGTGGAATAGAAGTGTTGTTTCATCCTACATTAGAATTTCTTTGCAAGCCTCTGAAATGCAATTCAGTATAAAATCCTTTCTAAACTAGGCACTAATTGGGTTTTCAGAATGCTTTTAGCTGGTGTTAGAATCTACAGGTTTTTACCAGGTAATATTTTAATATGAATAATTTTTGTGTTTGTTACATCTTTATTTAGTAGGGTTACAATAAGTCATTTATGGCTATTAAGCATTTGCATGTTTTTCTCTCCCCTCTCAGGATACTCCTGCTGTTTGTGTCAGTATTTTCTTTGTATTCAGTGCATCTTCTTTTGAAGACTGCCAATGAAGGAGGTATGGCAAGTTACTATTTTACAAACATATGGTATTTGTTTGATATGGTATCTTTGTGAAACACACCCTTCCAATGGAATATTTCGTTTTCTTTTAGGATCTTTATTGTATGAACAGTTGGGAATGAAGGCCTTTGGTATGGCTGGAAAACTTGCTGCTTCTGGATCAATTACAATGCAGAACATTGGAGGTGAGGACAAGATGTCAAAATGTCTGTACTGTCAATAGTAATTGTTCCCTACTTATTCTTGGAGACTTATTTTTCACACAACATGTGTTCATTAACCGCTTGTGTTCAAGTGAAGTTATGAAACATGTTATGTGATTCTTGCATCATGTGGCATATTCTATATTTGTAATGATCTATGATGTTATTCACCTACAGCTATGTCAAGCTACCTCTTCATAGTGAAATATGAGTTACCATTGGTCATCAAGACATTTATGAACATCGAAGAGACCACAGGGTAGGTGTTAGAACTCCTCCTCAGAGAAACTATTAGGAGAAACAAATACGGAGACTGTATATATTTTTATATGAAGACCACGTTCGGTACACCATAGGGTAGCTTCTTACTCAGACAGAGATACAGTAAGTTTGCCCTTCCCCTGAGTGCTTCACTTCATTTAGATCCAGCCTGTCCTGGGAAAAGGGTAGAAAAATACAGGTATTGCATCATATTACAGAAAGTTGTTCTCTAAAGAACATCAGGTAAGTGTTACTGTATGTACCAGTCAGTACATACTCATGATAAGGGAAGGTAAATGTGGTTGTGGTTGTTTTTTTGTTTTTGTTTTGTTTTGTTCTTTTTTTCTTACTGCATTCCAGCTGGTTTGGTCTGATTAATTTGTTTTACCAGTGTTAATGTTGTGGGAAGTGACTAAATGCAAGACTAAGGTGCAGTTATGTAATGAATGTCTTAAGGAAGAGTTCTGAAAAAGATACAGGGCCTAAACATTGAACTAAACCAGAGTTTATATGTCCAAGACTAAAATGGTGGATATCTTGCCATTCTGCCCTGGAGACACTTTGACTCCAGCATGGCTTTCCTGCTTGACTTTAAAAACATGTGCCTTGGGTAGGATTCATTTTATCTAACTGTACCCTCTAAGAGTTAGATTCTGAGCTCATAATTACTCTGGTCTTCATGTGATCAATAGAGAAAGGTGACCCTCTGTAGTGTTTTGGGCATCTCCAAAGAACAGTCATATCACTCTGTACTGAGAGGGTGTGTAAAAACAAGATGCCTGAGTTCAGATGGATAGAGTTAAGTGCTATAAATCTCACTCTTCAGAGTTGTACTTCTGTGCCTTGTCCTGAAGTGTCCCAGTCTTGAGAGGTCTGAGCAGCTCAAGACTCCAACTTACACCTAAGCCTGAGTTCAGAAGGTAGGCATTTTTCTGCCTGTGTTCCCCAAGGGGTTCAAGCCATTTGATGGTGTTCATACAGCTTGCTGATAAATATTGTCATAACAGTGCTAGCCATCTTTTTTTTTTTTTTTTTTTTTTCCTCTGAATGTACTCAAATACTGCACCTACACCATTTAATTAGTAGTGTGATGTTTACAAATTCTTTGTTGGGAAAGTTCATTTCTCTCCTTTGTCTGAATTCAAGTCCGTATTTTTCACTACTTAAGTACTGGCTACTCCAGGGACTTTCTTAAGAGTGGGCTTGGAGGCAAATATTTTTAACTGTCCCATCTTCAGTAATGAATTCAAATTTGGTTGCACTTCAAGAGGGAAGGTTAAAGGCTACAGCTGCTGCTCTGCAGATCTGGCAGAGAAAAATGAAGAAATTGAGATCTCCAGTATTTTCTTGTTGGCTGGCACTAGGTAGTTGTACACTGTTTTAAAGTAAATAATTTCTGGGTGCTCTGGCAATTGTGAACCCCATTTAACTGACTCTCTCCATGCATTGCTTAGGGCAGTCTGGGTGGCTACCATTGGCATGGATTCCACTCTGGCAGCCTGGTGCCTAAAATGTAAGCGCTTACCTGTTTAAATGTCCCAAAATAATGCCTACTGTAAAAGATGGTCTGGAATTCTGAGGCAATATTACAAATACTTGCTCCATTATTAAAATTTGTTTCGCAACTTTTAAAATACTCGGCTATATTTTAAAGCTGTGCAATCCCATTCGTTACTCTCCAGCACAGAAAAACTTCAAAAGTCCTGAATGTGAAAGTCCTGATGCCTCTGTATGGGGTATGCACATTCTGAGGATTGTACTTGAATGCAATGTATTGAATGAATCTGTGCTGTGATTTCTCTTAAATTTACCTCAAGACTACTATATTTTATAAAAATCAAACCAACCCCCCCAAAAAACCCCAAATCCACAGAAGGTGTATGATGTTAATGTCCTATACATCTGAACTTTTTTAATTAACTTTTTTTTTTTTTTGGCATCTAGTTATCCCAGATAAAACTGAGGAAAGTGAAGACCAAGTTGGTCTTATATTTACTACATAAATCCAGAGCAAGTCTGTTAATTATTCCATATTTTCACTACCATATATAGGCTTATCATTCAGCAGTTGAGTTTGAATGCACAGATTTCCAATAAGTCATTAATTTTTCTTTGTTTCCCTAAATAGTATACAGTCCATTTTAAAACAAATACTTTGAGATGATAACATAACAGGATGTAAAGTATCAATATTTGGGAATAAACACTTAGTTTACTTTACCTGCTTAAAGCATATAGGATGATCCTATAGGACTCTGGTTTTCTGTGTTTCAAAGAAGATGTTAATCCTCTAATGCTCAAAAATGTTTCCTGAAAAAGTAGCTGCTGCTGTTCTTATGGAATAAATGGCAAAAATATTCTGAAGGAATAAACTTCTGAGGTTTTTATGGTTTCCCTACTGAAAGGGACTAAATGTGCCTCCAAGAGACTCCCAGTGCTTGTTGGAGTTTTCTCAGCCAGTGGGCTTGAGCTACAGCCTTACCTTCAGCCCTCACTTGTTTTTCTTTAACTCCTGCAGGGTACCCAACAGAACTTTACTTTCACTAAAACTAAAATCTCTGCTGGGGCCCTGCAATATTCTAACACATCTGGAGAGTTGGGAAGAAACACTTAAGAAAATTACTGTTTTTTCCATTATTTATACCAGTTGACTTTTTTCTGACCAGTCATTTACTTTCCTGTCTTCTGACTTCCAGATGCATATTAATTATTTTATGAAAGGACACTAAAGGAAAGGCACGATGCAGGTTTGGGGTGAGATAAGAAGCTATTCTAGGACTTTAGATCCATATAGGAAGTTGAACACTAATCCTTTTGACATCAGGTAGTAGATTTTTTTGAGGAGCCATATGTTGTAGAAGATACGAGTGAAAACTAATCTGCAAATGTAATTTTTAAGTACTGGATTGCTTACAAATATTACCATTTTTTTCTACAGAGAATGGTATCTTAATGGTGACTATTTAGTGCTGCTGGTGTCTGTCTTCCTCATTCTTCCCTTGTCCTTACTGAAAAATTTAGGTAAGCAGTAGAGTGTGATCAAAACAAAAAAACTTGGAAAATACTGTGGGGAAATGGGTTGATACAGTGTTTGACTCTTGAAATCCTGTGTGAATTAACAGCTGTCTCCAAACTTGTCTCTTGGGACTAATTAGTGTTAAGGTACTTGCTGTAAGTCTACTTGAAAAAAAAAAATAATTAAAAAATTAAGACAAGTATCCTGAATTAAAGATGCATTTGTGGAAAATGAAAGGACAGTAGATAGGGTGGCTTTAGAGCAAGGCTCAACAAAGAGAAAATTTTCTCTGTAAGTATCACAAAGTTTGACCTATTTTGGTCAATAGTGAAATACTATCATTTGATTAGCTGTCCTATAACAGCCTCCAGAGAATAGAGATGCTAGCCCTGGGCTAGTTAAATTGTACTTCCAGTATCTTTTGATTTTAGATCCCAAGCAGTAGCAGAATATTCATACCAGATGCTTTATCTGAAATGGCTGTGATTCAGTGATAAAAATGTCTTTAATTCGGTTAACACACTATTTGTTCAGAGAATCCTGTAGTGGAACTTCAATAACTGAGAGTTTCAACCTGAATTACCAAGTTACTATTTCCTAGGAAATAAGTAAACCAATAAAAACAGAAGGGGAAAGGCTAAGTTATCTGGTGGTGAATGCTATTATCACTTTTGACATGCAACAAACAATTGACGTAGTTGTTGCTGTGGATTTTTTGGGGTGTGTTATTTTTTTCTTGTAAGTTAAAAAGTTTAATATTACAGACTTGCTATATGTACAGACCCTAATGTGTCTTTGAGAACTTTCAGATCTGGGTTGAGATTAGCGGAAAGTTAATGAATAATTAACTTGTTCTACGTGATGCTAAGAAAATGACAACCTAAAGAGATCACTGACAGAATATATTTTGCCATAATGTTTTGACTTGAATGGTGTTTCTGTTTATTGTACCTTAGATTTTTTTATTTTTTTTTTTTTGAACACAGGGTATTTGGGCTATACCAGTGGCTTTTCCTTACTTTGCATGGTCTTCTTTCTGATTGTTGTAAGTATAATCTTGTGGACTTGCAGTGCTTGTAAAACTGCATTTCAAAGTGAAACTAAACAGTTTCTGAAAATTTTCATGTCTTGCGTTAGTCAAAGTAGTAATATATGCATGGCTTTATTTCTAGGTAATCTGGAAGATGTTTCAGATTCCTTGTCCTATGGACAGTGACATCATGAACATGACACTAATAAATGCAACCATGGCACCTTTCATAGGTGAAAACATAACAAGTGATGATATGTGCAAACCAAAATATTTCATCTTCAATTCACAGGTAACTGAAAAATCAGATGCTCTTTTGAAAATAACTGAGACTAAATATATAGCAGATAAATTAGGTCATTTTTCCTTCAAGTAATTACCCAGTTCTAAACTTTGGATGTGTTAAGGCTTTCTGTTCCAGTAGACTTGGGCAGTGTTTAGACTGGGGGTTTCCACATTTCAAATACAGAGAAATTAGAGGAGCTTGAGGTGGCTGTTAATAAACACATACCCCATTCTTCAGCAGAGCATTTCTCAAGCTTTCTTAAGTAAGTTAGTAGATTGCAGAAGAATAAGAAAATTGTAAAATGGGAATGTACGGGACATGCATGCCAGGGTTTGGGATGGACTTGGTCCCAGTCACAAATTCTCGACTCTCATGAATGCTCCCAATGACAGTGGTGAATCTCCACACATGGAGAAGTGTGTGTAATACCCAATACCAAGATCAGGCTGTAGTGGCTTAAGCCTATGAGTTGCAGAACATAATTTTGAATGAAAATATGTTCAGCTCAGCTTGGACTTCAATGACATTTGAGGCTATTTGGTACCTCAGGGTCTGGGTTTAAGAAAATATGAACTTGTTTTAATTTTCTGCAAATTTCCATTTCAAAGAACAGTGAGTCTTTGTCAAAGAGTAAATTAATGCTTAAGTCAAAACTGAAGAATCTGCTGATGATTTTTTTACATTATATTTCTAATGTCTATTGAGATTCTTTAAAAAGTTACTTTTTTTTTCAGACTGTCTATGCTGTCCCAATCCTAACATTTTCTTTTGTCTGCCATCCTGCAATTCTTCCCATCTATGAAGAACTGAAAAGGTAAATGTTCATCTGTCTGTAATTTCACTAAACAAACCAAAGTAGTATAAAGCAGTATGTTCTCACAGCTAACATTTCTTTTTCTCTTTCTTACAGCCGAAGCCGTAAAAGAATGATGAGTGTGTCCTATGTATCTTTTTTTGCCATGTTCCTCATGTATTTATTGGCTGCTCTCTTTGGATACCTGACATTTTATGGTAAACATTGCTTTCTCTGCTTTCTTTTAAATGATTTATGTTCTGTAAAATCACAGTATTATTTTAAAGATAGAACAAGCAAGCATTTATTATGGATTCTAAATATACACTGTTGGGGGTTTTTTTAGCACTTCTATACGTGTACACCCAAAAGGAGATCAGTAGTAGAATTAAGCCCAAGGCACATGACTAAAATTGGATTAAAACAGATTCCATGCCTCTAAGTCATCACTGTGTAAAATGGAGACATGCGTACAGAAGCTCTTGAGGCTTTCAATTCATGTGGATGTAACTGTAAAATATGCTTAGAATTTAGAGCAAAACCAGTTGTTTAAGAACTAGGTCTACTACATTTAATTAAAATACTGTTTTCTTTACAGGAAATGTCGAACCAGAACTGCTTCATACCTACTCTGCTTATCTGGGTGCTGATGTTCTCCTCCTGATTGTGCGTCTCGCAGTTCTTATGGCTGTAACCCTTACTGTACCTGTAGTTATTTTCCCAGTAAGTAATTTTTTTTTTTATCTTACTACCACTTTTCATCACCTGTACTGCTGCCATCATTTACTGATTTGGCAACTCCATTTATTAATTCTGAGAGATTTTCTCTAAACTGAAAAAGGAAATTTATTCTGATAAGCTTGATGACATATAACTATACTGTTAATTCAAATAAATGTGCAAGATTTACAAAGCAGTAGATAGAAATACATTCAGTTATATTGTTTTGGTGATATGGTGTAATTGGGGAAATGAAATGGATTGCCCCTTTATAAAAGTACTTGCACTGTTGTATTATCAGCTATAAAAAGTCAGCATGTGTTTGTAAGTACATTTGGACATGAATTCTGGCTGTTGAGGTGTATATTGTTGAGCAGCATACTTAGATGTTACAAAATTCCCTGGAATTTGTTCTTGTTCAAGACGTATGTTTTTCCTTTGTGTTTTTTTCTCCATTACTGACTGAGCTTTGAAAGTCTAAATCACTGAAAAGAGAAGAGCAGAAACAGAGCTGCCTCTCAAGTGCAGGAAGTAAATATCTAAAAAAGCAAAATACTCTCATCTTTCAGCTTCTATTAAAATCTGAAGTGTTCAGGAAAATGATGTTAAAATGCTTTCAGAAGGAAGATCTAATTCAGGTGACAATTACTGCCCCCCACAATGAAGACTAAGCTGACTGGTTTATTTTTCCCCTCTTCTAAAGATCCGCAGTTCCATTACACAGCTGTTATGGGCAGGGAAGGAGTTCAGATGGTGGCGTCACTGTGCCATTACAGTTGCTGTTCTGGCATTTACCAACGTGCTTGTTATCTTTGTCCCTACTATTAGAGACATCTTTGGATTTATTGGTAAGCATCTTCTTGTCAGTTCAAACAGTCTTTTTCAAATCAGTTTCAATCTAATGATATTTACTTATGAATATTTATTTCCATGATTTTTCAATACAGGTGCATCTGCAGCTGCCATGCTGATCTTTATACTTCCTTCTGCCTTCTACATCAAATTAGTGAAGAAGGAACCAATGAAGTCTGTGCAAAAGATTGGGGTATGTACAGGCAAAAATGTTATTATGCTTGCTTACTGCTTCAGAGCAATAGTTTTTATTTTCTGCTTCGTGGTTTAAGGATTTTGTAGTTCTGGTGAAAGTAGTCAATGAATTGACATTGAATTGTTATGCTAGTTAACATCTGGGGGTTGCATAGGAACTCAAAAGCAAGGAGCTGGGCATCACAAGGCTCAGTTCACTTCAGTAGCTTCTCTCAGGCCCTGGCCTCCAATCTCAGCAACAGCTGGGTCATTCTGTTGCTGATGAGAACCAGATTTCAGCAGAATACCCTTATGAGCTATACTAAAAAAAGTCTTCATATTCTTTAAATATTCTTTTAAGGCTTATTTGCATAATTTGTCCCATAAAAGCTGACCTCTGCTAATCATTTGCATCATCCTCACTGATCTTGTTGCTCTTGCTGATTGTAGACATACTGACTTGAAGTCAGATCTTAGATGTACTGAGTCAGAATCAAGTCAGCACAGTGACACAGCCTGACTGATAGCAGCAGCTATGTTAACTTGACTCAGTTGAGGGTGAGCCCTGCTATACTGAAAATAAATCTACCTTTTTATTTGAAAAAGGCCCCCAAGTGTGAGAAATATACCTTGTTCCTTATCATTGACTCTGATCTCTTGTCCCTTTTACTTAGTCTTCCATGAGCAATGACAGTTGTGCTATACAGGGACATAACTTTGTAAGTGTATGTCATGGTTTAACCAACACAGTGTCGTAGCAGAATCTGAAATACTTCTCTTTTCTTTTTTCAGGCTGCATTCTTCTGTCTAAGTGGTATCATTGTGATGACTGGGTGTATGACACTGATTATTCTAGACTGGACCCAGAATGTTCCATCCGATGGCCATTAACTGCCCTGGTTTAATCTCTAACACTCCACTTCAAATGCCAGTGTTCACTCAGATACCTGCTGAGAACGAAAATGAGCTATTCAGCTTCCTTTAAAAGGCAGATTCTTTGTTGATGGTTCTTCTGATTGTAGAATATCCAAACTCTGTCTTTAAGAAACTATTCTGCATGATGGAAGTGGATATTAACATCAAACCATGTGAGTGTCTGGCTGAAGGAAGTGACAACTTTATTCCATTCCAGAGAATGGACAGAACTCTCTGTAGACTTTTATAAAGCCATGTTTGGCTTTCGTCAATGTTACTTGGATATTTTGTTATTTTACTTGAATGTGCCTAATGGAACCATTTGATGTGAGAAAGAACTGTTTAATTTACAGCAAAGTGTTTAAATAACCAATGAGAGAGAGAGAGAAAGAAACACTATTATTTTTTGTACCAAAAATTCTTATGGACCTCAAAAGCACTATTTTGTCTTTTAGAAACATTTTTTTCTAAAAGGAATGAAAGAATAACATAGAAGAGCTCATAAAAAATATTTAATCAGTGTCCTAAATTAAATTTAGTTTGCCTTTCTGTAGAGGCATAATAAGAAGAAATTTTATTTTAAAAATGCTTCTAATGACCAAAACGAAATCATGAACCAATTAAGGTCAAAACTCTCTGATGCTCAGTGCTTCCCATGGTATTCACATTATTCAAAGTAGAGTGAAAATACTCCTGAAAACCATTTGTCAGATTACTTAAGTAACTACAGTTACCTTAGTACCCAAAAATGGTGTGGAAACACAAATTTACAAGCTTTAACAAAACCCACCCTTTGGGTACATTTGAGAGAAATGTAGTTAATCTAAAATTGTGAAGATGACATTGACATTTCCCTTCTTGAGGTACTCAGTAGTGCAATTGAGTTAAACAGGGTTTGGGGTTTCTGGTTTTTTTGGTTTTCTCCTGTCGTGGATATAAACTGAATAGCACTGGAGCATATGATGCCATTAATACAAATCTCCCTCCTCTAGTTCTTTTTATTAATAAGGTCCATTGTCAATTGTAGCAATGTTTGTTGGGGTTTTTTTTCTGTCCAATCTATCTTGAAACGCTCCATAGGAAAATGAAAAAGGTCCTAATGTAGTCTACTAGTTGTATAATACTCAAAAACTGTACAGTATTTCTCAGATTCCTCATCCATTATTGGATTTTGAATTACTTGACTATTCTGTTGCTGAGTCAAATCCACAAAATAACTGCACCAATATTTTATGCTTGGTACAAACTCTCTTCACATACACAACTGGGATTCTTCTTCCAATTTACACTGTATAGTAGTATTAAAGATAACCTCATAGGCTGGATAGTCATCTCATACTTGTTTGCTTCAGAAATAGATAAGTTTCTTATGAGCCCTAGCTGATGAAACAGGTGCTGTATGGTCATGATGAGCTATTTTGTTTCAAGTGCATGTTTACTCTTTCATTCTTATCCCAGGCTGAAGAGAGAAAACACTTGTCTAACAGCGTACTTGGCTTATAAGAGGTTCTCAAACACAACAGTACTGGGTACAAAAGCCTAGATAGAGATTATTAATGAAATAATCATGGCAATGTGGTCAATTGTCTTCATCTGACACGATGCTTTAAAAATCTGATTCTATTACCAAGTCCCACTTAACCATTGTGTCAGAGGGAACAAGTAAGGGCCTGTAATTCATTGATTAAACAGTGCCTCAGACTTTTTTGCTCTTGTAGAAGTAATAGTGAACAAATCTAAATGATAGTCACTGTTTGGCAGATAATGTCAATCTCTGCCCAGCCATTTAAAATCTATGGAAAACAACTGCAGGTATTTTGTATTGATACTTCTGCATGACTCTAAGTACTGGTCACTAAGTCTATAGTGTAAAACTGTAATGAGAAGTTAGATTCCTCTTGCATTGTTTGTATTATTAGTTTGGTGGTACTCAACTGGCAATTAATGATCCTGGAGTCAGCACTGACTAATGCTCCTTAGGTACTCCTCTGCCTCAGGTACTGTACATCCATGGCTAACGATCCCATGTTACCTGATCTCCACAGAAGTACTGAGCACATGCCTCCTCAGTACTTTGGCAGCTTTTCTTCTTCCTCTGAAAATGTGCAAAGGTGGAAAAGGATTAAAATGTTGTCTACCTTTGAGCAATTTGTAGCACATAAGAGATGAAGTGCTTCCCTTGCATTTAAAAAGGAGGAAAGAAAGGGAGAAATAGGCTCCTTTTTCACAGTAACCACAGAAGAGGAAGGAGGTGTAAATGAGAAGTTACTACACAGTCCTTCTCAGCAACCAGAAAGGAGGAAGATTTTTGTGATGGCACCTCATAATGTATTGTACAAGTCACTAATTCTCTGAATGTAGCAATTTCCAGATTATACATTGTGTTCTATTATTTGGTGACTGGGTCTCCACCTGCAACAGTTGAGTTCCACTTGGCTGGGTTGATTTCCAACATATGATTTTTTAAATTATTTTTTTCCCAAACCTGTCTGTCTAAAGTTACTTATGTTACAAACCACCTAAAAGAGCAGCTTCAGTATTAAACCACTGTTTTGTCACCTCAGTTAGACATTACTGTCTTCCATGATATTTCAGTCATAAATGTAACATGCTATTTATAAAACATTAATCCATTAAATCTAAACCTATTTTTCAATATTTATGATAGTCTATGTACATAAATTGTATGTGTGTATATACTGTAAGTATAATGTATATAATGTAGATTTGGAATTCAGGATTTATGTATATATTCCTCTCTCATTACTGATTGTTACATCATTTCAAGAAGTTGTTCATGTTGTACATCTGTATAACAGCTGTCAAAGGAAAGAGTCTTCTGGAACGAAGTATCATGCTTAGGAAAGTGGGAGAAAGGTGTGTAACAAAACACTTAGATTGTATTTATTACAAATGTATATGTTGCAATAAACACAGGAATCACTTGGGTCCATAGAAAGCATCGTTCAGGTTCATGTATACTTTTCCTCTAAAATTTACCATGGATGTTATGATTTCCTGAATGCAGCAAGTTAGCAACCTTTACAATCTGACTAACCTATGTGTTAGGCTGCCAAATTCAGGCATCCTACGGTACATGTACAGCTGTAAATACTCACCGTATTGGTAGGGGCCAACGATCTAGCTGCAGTTATTGGCTAGACTGTTGGCCAACAACACAGTTTCAATGAAACATTGTATGTTTGTTTTAACTGAAATAAATAAATAGATAATCCTCAGCACTGGTGTGGTGTTTTTTTCTGAGGGGAGACATTTGAAGAATTTTCTTCAAAGATATTAAAAGCGTAACTTTTAATTTTATCCATCCTTAGGACTTTTCAGGAAAGGGAGGAGGGGAAGAAAAATAGCATGCAACTATATGATTTATGACACTACAAGGATAAACAGAACAAGTTTGGGCATTAAAGCAAATTAAATTCTGCAAAGAACCTGCATTATGTCTTTTTTTTTTTTTTTTTTTTTGCGGAACAGGTATATCTGGAGACAAGATTCAATGTGTTAGATCTTGTATTAATGTCATAAATGAGAGAGTCTTGTAAAAATCCTGTGCCACTTCATTTAAATTTCCAGGAGAAGAATAACTGCTTCTGTAAAACTTTTCAAAACTGGGGTATCTGTTTCCCTTCCTTTTTAGAAACTGGGTACAAACCAAGTGCAGCATACCTGTTCTTTGTTCTCTCTATCCGTCCCAAATATTAATTAGTGGGTGTGAGAGGTGGTGGGGTTCTAACTCAGTGTGTCATGTATACAACACAACACTACAGGAAAGGAATACTATAGTTAAGTACCTTGAAATTAGGAAATGATGCAATTAAGGTTGCAATAATTACATGATCATATAGTACTTTTTGCTGGAATCCTCACTTAGTAGCTGTTCATTACTTTTTAATGAGGCTTTCTATGTGTTCACAGTGCCCAAAGTCCAGAGCCCATCCTGATGAGGAATGAATATCCTCATTCCTCTCTAGTTCCCATTTTAATGTTATCCTTGTGAAACACAAGTTACTCATTTTCACAATGTTGCAGGCCTGTAAGAAGGTGTTAAATCAGTATGCAGCTCTGGGGACCTGGGACATGGAGTGCTACACTGTGAAGCAGACATGTATTTGAGTCCACAATTGAATGTTCTGCACTTGCTTATTTTGTATTTTGGCATTTGCTTACATGCATCTAAAGCATAACTGCAAAACTGTCTAAAATCCCATGTTTTGAACCTCTTTACCTGCCACAAGGTCTTTGCTTCAGAAGAGGGTTAAGCTGTCACTTAGGGTTCATTCACAATGCTGAAATTTGTGAATCTCTTGAGGTCTGTGCAGGTAACAAACAGCATCTTTACTTTCTTCTGATTCCCCCAAAGTTTACCTTTCCTTCCACTCTGGCCTTGCCAAGTTGGTGCTGTCCCAAAGTCATGCCTAGGCACCTCACTCCCAAGTGTTCATGCAGCAGCTGGATTGCGTGGGGTTGTGTCCTAAGGTCCCCTGTGGCTTAGCTCATACCCTGTTTGCAGAGCAGCACAGCTCCCATTCAGTCTGTGTGCCCACCTTTCCTTTCTGGGGAAACAGAACAGAGGATGGCCAGTGTATGCCCAAATTTCAGTGCCAGAAGAAACCAAGATACCATGAAGGACCCTCCAATCCTGTCCTTCAAGGAATGTGGACATGCCATCCCATCTTCACTGCAGATGTGCCCAGCACCAGCTTCCTTGACCTTTATACTTTCAGTCTCTTGAGTGTGACAGTCTAGACCACAGCTGCTTTCACATGCATTTCCTTCTCTCTTCTTGTACAGATGCTTTCAGTTGTCATAGGGTGAGTCTTCACCAGCTGGCACTCGATCAGACCCTAGTCCCAGTTTGCCAGCTCCCCAGTAACACCACCCCTTGAAGCTGCTCCTGCAAGGCTTCTACCTTCATCTCACTATCCTCCTATGTGCCTGCCTAAGCCCAGCTCTGGTCCTTTCACATTTACTTTACCTAGGCACAGCTGGAAACATATTCCTTTGATTTTCCTAGTCCCTGCCCAGCTGGTCTCTTTATGGCCACCACTCTAACTACTAGCCTTATTTTCTTGTGCTCTGGCCATCCCTCCACTCACAGCTCTCCAGCAGTCCCACAGGAGAGAATCCCACTTCCACACCCAGTTCAGGTACCTCTTGCCCCTCAAGACTTTGGCCAAGCATGAAGTCTTACTGTAGAAGGTGGCATGGGCAACTTTTCCAGGAAAAAATTACTCATCATTTTACTAAAGGAGAATGTCCTCTTCTTCCTGATTTTATTCTCAGATGGGCCAAATTGTTTAGGT